AAATAAAACATTTTGCATCTACAAAATAGAAAATACTTTTTCACAAACTGTGGCAATGTTTTGCAGGTCACATTTCATTTTCCAGAACAACTGATCTGTAATGTCGCTTTTGTGCGTGTGGTTATGTATAAACAGCAAGGCATTTTCAACTTATATAAAACTTTTCTGTAAAGGAAGTTCCCTCTTGGAACAGCACTTGCTAACAGTTTGAATACAAATCTAGACCGCAAGTCCAGTTAATATTCACAAAAAAAAAAAAGTATCTAAAGCACAAAGCACACACATATATAAATATACTATATATTTATAGAATATTTAGGAAAAAAAATCTGGTACTTTTAATCTGCAGTATGTTACTTAGATCTATATTTTATCCTGACATCCTTGGAACACCAGTACCTCTGACTTTACAATTTCTTAACCTTAGATCCTACTTGGCAGTACAGTTAGATCACATGTGTAACATGTCAATAACTACACATCTACAGTTACCAAAGGGTTAAGCCTGATGGAGTAGCAAATACTTTCCAAATCAGAAACCCTTTATAGTGTACCGTATATGTTGCAGGGACTCCTCAAATTACTTCCAGACAGGGCTATTTTTATAATTCCATCACAAAAGCATCTCCTATCCTACACGTTTGCTACTTCAGAGCAGTTTTACATGAAAAGTACATGTCTCATAAATCAAACGTTGCCCAAACTCCTGAAGGAAAATTCAGATAAAGCATTAAGGATTAAAGCATTAAGGTCAGGATAGGAATTCTGAAATTCCTCTCTGGTCCTCACTTTTAGATTCCACTCTTACTGTCTGTGGGAAACATACGTCTGATATTCTGGCAGTTATTTTTAATTTTTTCTCACAGTGAGCTAATTGGAATGTGAGTAGCAGTGCAGCAGTTGGACAAACTGAACAAAACCAAAAAGCACCGACTGCTACCAGGAGCTCAGGAGGGCTAGGGAAGAGGAGCAACAGAGGACCAGGCAGGCAGACATTGCAAATACTTTTGTTCTTGTTATGCTTCCTTCATTACTGTTTCACTTGGTACGATATGACTGAATGTTCCTACTGTTTTTATAAAGCAAGTGCTCCAGTTCTGCATGGGAGCCATAAAGTTTTCCCTCCACCAGCCCCTAAGCACTGCAGCTGGTGCTACCAGAAAGCAGTAACATACGGCATTTCTGCACAATAACCTGGAACTACGGCTGAGAGCTGGCAGAAGGGGAGTCATACCCGCAGGATTCATTTCCTTCCATATAGTTTCCACTACATAATAGATAGATAGGTCTTTGTCTAGCATACCAAAGCGATGCTCCATGCAGCTTTTCATAGACTGAGGGAAAGGCAACCTTTTACTCATCTCTAGAGTATATATATGGAACATGAGCCAGGGCAAAGTGCCAGGCATCAGAAAAAATGGAGACCGCTACCCATATGGGTTTTCAATGTGTTACATCAAAGGCACATAATTTATAGTTTAACTCAGAGGGTTAAATTGCTAATACCTAGTACATAAGCAGGGAACTAAGGTAATTTACAAGTGCCGCCTTAAAATTTTTCTTCTGATGGCTATGAAGTTAGTTGTCAGCAAATTTCACGCCATAAGTGAATAGGCATTGCGAGGCTACAACAGCTCCCAGCTCCTGTGACGGGGGGTGGAGGAAGCACTGCTTCTTTGGGATTTAGCACCGTGTTGGCCCCTGCATTCCCCTCTGGGGTCTCCACACTTCTCATTTTGAAGTACACATTCTTCTCATCCTCCAGAGGTGGAGTATTTATCAAACTTTTCCACCCCAGAAAACGTATTTTAAATGTTTATTAAATTTTACTTTTTTCAGCGAAATGTGTGTATGGTTCAACCCCCTGTGAAACTGGAACCCTAAATACAGGCAAAATTGGTTTTTAACTTAATCTAAAAAGAGCTATTGTACCTTGGACTCTTATAAAGTATATTTTGTTTGCTTATAAGTTTATTAAACGTCTGGCATGGGGGAACACAAGATTTGGTCGCTGTGGACTTTCAGATTCACATCCAAAACAGCATAACATGGTTTTATAACATTATAGAACTTTGAGGGAGGGGGATGTTTGGGTTTTGTTCATTGTTTTGGTTTTCTGGGTTTTATTAAAGCTAGAGATTAATATTGTCAGCTTTTCAGGTGCTTTGGGAGTTGGTTGGGGGGGTTTTTTGTCTATACCTCTCCTTACAAGTTCTTTTGTACTTTTTCATGTGTAATTTTCTAAATACTTTTAGATACTTCACCACATTTTATTGTGCATTTTCATGTCTATTGCTTTTAGAAGCCACAAACAAAGCTGCATTCCTAATGCAGCAGTCATTGCACAAGCATAGAGGCAGCCCTTCCCCAGTGCTCAGAGGTACTCGGAAGTTTTCAAAGAATGGGAGTTCAGTGTTCAAGTACAGTTTAATTTGAATGAAAATACCTCGCTATACAGCTGTGAAAAGCTTCCTCATAAAACCCAATGGAATTCAGAAATGCTTTAGAAATAACAGTAATTTATTTTCTTTAAAAAGTAATTTTTTAAGAGTAAAGTTTCCAAAACCCAAACTTGATTGCTATCATATTTTATAGGACTTTTTTCACAAAATATTATGTTAGAGAATGCAAAAAACATGCTTATAGCCTACCAAATATGAGGGAAATGGTCAAGTGAATTATTTTTTTTTAGTTATAACAAAGTTGCTCTTCTCCTTTCACATTTATTATTTGGTCTTAAATTAAAATGTCTTCCTTTTCACAATTTTCTTCCATTTTCTTCTCTGCTACATAACTCAATAAAGAGTCCAAACTACCTGATGAGAATCACAGCTATGAAAAAACCCCCACATCTGTGCAGCATGGAAAAACATCAATCCCACAGTGATTTACTGCAATTCTTTAAGTGCCTGTTAGTTAAAATTCTGATGAGCGGCAGAGAGGGAATAAAAAAATATGAATTCAAACTCTATCAGCATAAAGTTTGGAATTTTTCTGTTCTATACAGAACGGATACAGAACTAATTCATACGAGTCCAATCCTACAAACTTTCTAGCAGGCAGAAGTTGCAAGCATTATATTACTGAGTGATGTTACAAACAAGACTCCTTCCTTCTCACTAACTTTAAATTACAGTTTCTGTGGAAGCCATAAGGACCATATACCAAAACCTGGATTTGCTAAAGCAGCTGGGCTGAAGTGTAATTGCTACTATTCTTTTATCATTCAAGATAGCATCTCTGTCACAAAGCCAAGAAGCCAGAGCAGAATTCAAGATGTTAAGAAAACAGACTTCAAAGGCTAATGCAAACAATTTGTGCAAGCTTTACTGCTTTCAGAATAAAACCACAATCATTCTTAGATACTGCTTGCATAAAATGTCCAATTATGTCTTTATAACTTTGTGTATAAACAGGTATGTCAATTTGATCTAGAATATTCCACTTGTAAAATTATTTATATAAGTGCAGATCAGCAATGCCACACAGGCCTGCATGTAGGAGGAGACACGTGGCTCAAACAGTCGAGGCTTTTTAGATCACCATTTCAAAAATTGGTCAATGTTGGCACATCCAAAAAAATTGTTATTAGTTACTGTTTATATCTAGTTTTTACCACTGGTTCCTTAGGGTTCTTTCAAAATACTGACTGATTTACCAGTCCCTGCAGTATGGGGAGTTCACCTGTAGGGTTTTTGTGTCACACCCCTGATTCAGAAGCTTCAAATGTTATCCTGCAAGAGCCTCTATTTCCAGAAACTTTAATAGGGGAAAAAAAAATACAAAAACCCACCCAAAGATTTATCAAGCCCTTAGAGGATTGTGTGTAAAGAAAAAGCCCGTCTAATCAAGCCCTTGCTGAACATGTCCACATTGTAAAACCACTATGTTAAATATCAGTGGCTGACTTCTTTAATGAGTGTTAACACAGAGTAAGGAAGCAAACCTACATTTTAACCCTGCAGCTATTGTTTGTTTAGTGTATAATCCCATAACACTGCAGTAGATGGGTTAGTATCCCTGGGTCAGAGCTGACAACTGCGTGGAAGATGGGGGAAAAATATTTGGAGGCATCTTTGAGATTAAAAATAAATAAATAAATTCACAGTTATTTTGCCCATCACAAGAAAACTTATTCTTTTATGACTCCAGCATTACCAAAATTTTAAAAATTAAAGGCTCAGTGCTACTTATGATCAGTACATTTCTACAAACAACCCCTTACATCTACTCGTAGAGAAGACAGCCAATGCCACGATTCAAGTTCCCATAATTTCCTTTCCCCATCTCACATTTTAGTTCCTAGAGTTTTAGTCCTCCCTGATTAAAAAGATAATTCACTTTATAAACAAAATGCCCAAAACCATAGCTGACATTTCCCCTAAACTTTCACTGCTACTTTAAAAAAAATAAGCTTCAAAGCTTGACAAACAAGAGACCTGAAGAACGACCTATTTCTAACCTTCTGTTTGTTCAGAATAAAGCTAAACAAGGCCAGAACTGATATTTTCAGTTATAACATCTTGGCTTGTTGGTGGCAACACCACCCACATTTCTCTAGATTTCTTGAATCTAAAGAATTTGGTCATTTTACCAAGTCATCCAGTCCTAACATATAGGTAGAAATCCCACAAAGAACACAAAATCTTTCAGAGAAGCTCTTCGTGGTTATTTCAACAACATAAAAGGAAAGTTTTTAGCAATTTTTTTGCCATTCTAGTTAATATCTATCAAGCTATATTATTTTCTGGAAAATATATGCAGACAGGGTTTAAAACTGCAGATCCTCATTCTATCACAAATAAACTCTATGAAGGTAAACATCTTAAAAATTTAGTTAGTATATAGATGTTCAGATGGGCTTTTATGTTTGATTGGGCTTGTTGCAGGTTTTTTAGGCAAGCAAAGTACATCAGCAACAAAGCTTGTTTAATCACTTCTCAGGAACAAAACTAGGTCAACTCCTCTACTTGACAGTTACTTTACTTTCCTCTTAGATTTTGTACATTTAGAACTACAGATCAGAGACAGCACATTCAAGGATTAGTTCCTCAAGCCCTACATGAAGGCTGCGAGTCACCTACAGTGAACCTCTAACTGACATGGCTGTATACTACTGCAGGAGGTTTTTCCTAAAAGCTCCTACAGATCTTGGTACACCACTTTTTCAACTCCACCTAGTCCCACCTGGTTTGTGAATTAACCTGCTAACAACCTTAATGATTCACAGCTGTCATTGAGATTTCTTTTTTGCTAACAAGTGAGCACCTATTTCTTGGCTACTGCACAAAATAATCACGGAAAAGCAATTAGCTGCAGCTGTAAAGCCAGCTTTTTTGTTAACGTTGTGCTATAATGGGTTGCTGTATTTTTTTAAAGCTTTCTTTTCTTACCATTGTTACTTATTCTTAAGAGACGGCATTCAGGCATAGGATTGCTAAGAAATTAACCTATGTGAAAAAAAAAATTTCTCAAGTAACTTCAGTTCTTCTAGTGTTTAAAGAAAAGCAAATTTTGACAGGATGGGATTTAGTATAAAAAAACCTTGTTTAACAGTGGAACACATTAAATTCAATGCTGGCTGTGATAATAAAATGCAGCTCTTTTTTTTTAAGATAATGTCCAGATATTTATTTTTAACCACCTTTGAGAGTTGTTTTTGTTTAGCAGTGCTCCAGATCAGTGACTTTTCACCCACCCCATGGAAACAAAAGCTGGAAGAATGCAGTAGGTACCATAAAGACAGAAAGGCATCAGTGCCCTTGGATTCACTCAGTGAGATATATAGCAACAATTTGTTAAATGCGTTAAAATATTGCATTTTAACTGGAAAAGGAAAAAAAGCCAAATTAATTTTAACAATGTAAGGCCGGTAATCCTTTACAGAAATTGAGCTCTAGCCATTCTAGAAGTTGACATTAATCATCAGCAACTTGGTCTCTATAACAGCATTTCTATTGCACACTCTGATGGAGTCTTAAATATTCTAAGAATAAATTAAGAATCACAAAATATTTCTACTACTTACTGCATACAAATTCTCCATCAGAATAAAGACTCTGTCTAAAGACTCTCTCAGATCCAGCTTTTCTCATCAAAACAGTTCTTTCTTGCCAAGTTGACCAAATCTGTTGACAAAAAGAAAATTTCCAATTTCAACATGTATTTTAAAAATTACACATTTTTTTCTTCAAACAACTGAGAGCTTCTCTTCTGTAATGACTGTTGCACATGTTTATGCACAGAGGACAAATGTCAGAATTTGGATCTAGAGACCTGCTGCATTTATACCACACAATGAACGCCTCATTGCAATAGCTAAATCTTTATCATAGCGGATATAAATTATATTTTACCTGAAATGCATCTGGTTTTATTTGACAGAATTTTGTCTGCAGCTAAGGCTGAGCCAGAAACATAAACCTGCTGGGAAATTAAACTCTGGTCATAGCCTGACTGCCCACACAGAGCCAGGCAGGTTCTACAAAAGACCAGGTGTCTGGTACATGTAGCACAATGGCACTCATACTGAATGCAAAACCAGAGAAAAACTGAAATAGACATTTCTTATATTATAAACTCCTTCAGAGGGACAAAAAGCATTCATCAAACAGGATTTTGTTGTCTAAATGTCTTTAGGATATGCCCTTAGGTATCTTAAGTGAATCTTAAGATAGATGAATACCTTTAATAACTTAAATGTAACCATCCTATTATTCTAAACCTCAGCTAATGACTTTGCTTATTTGCCTGTCATATATGAAATTTATGAAAAATACAAAAAAAAATAGTAACATACAAATAAAATGTCATAAATTGTCAAATACCACAAGATTCAATTTTACCTTTTACAAGAAATCGGGTTTTTTGTTAGAGTAACTTACAAGGTATTTTAAACTGAGATACAGTTTATGGAAGCTCTGAAGAGAAACATGACACTGGATGGACTAGACAAAGCTCTCTTATTACTAGAACCAGGATATTACTGAAACTGATTACCTCCCCAAAATGTGGGGAGCCAGTGCTGATGCTATGGCTTCCTAGTTAGAGAAATCTGGTAGGGATGGACCCACAGCCCCCCAGGTAACAGCTGTCCCTGTGTGGGGAAAACTAATTTTTCCAGTTCTCTGTACAACAGCTTTGGCTAGTCTTGTTATCGGCACTGAGGTAGTACACGTAATGAAACATTATTTTCTGTAACCAGTTTTCAATTAAGGGTTATTCTTGGGAATACTGTATGAGAACTAACTCTCAATCTTATGCATACTATATTCTTGGTAGTTTTCTGTACCTTTCAAAATCTTATGTCCTAGCTGCATACTTTACTCAGACTGTTCTTTTTTGCAAACAGATCACTATCTTCCCACTGTGTAAGACAGAGTTTTTGTGATCAAATAGTCCCACATATCAACGTGGACAAATTTCTCTTCCAAAATAAAATCTGTGCAAATGGATAAATTAAATCAGGCTGAATATGGGAGCAATCTGTGGAGCTCCAGACAAAGGTCACACTGCATAGCCTGGCACGCACAGGGACAAGCCAGGAGATACCTCACTCTGTTTGCTAGCTGCTCGGAGCACTAACTTGTCAAACAGAAATTCGTAACAGGGAAAATGAAATTAACTGCCACATGAAGAACTCAGCAAGGAGCACATATTTGGTTAACTAAATTTAAGCTAAATAGAAACCCTTCATGTTCTTACAGCTGAACTGCTGAAAAAGCACTGTTCTGCAACTAAAGTGAATGGAAAAATGTTAAGAAAGCCAGGACTGGACAAGACTTGTGAGTCACTACAGAGCTATCCAAAGGGATACAGAGGTCGTCCACTAGCTAGAACGTGGGCTGAAACAGTTACTGATTTATTTTCCAAGAATCCAAATAAGAGGCACCCTCTGGGGAGCCCAAGACAAGAGACTTTTCCATTATTGCAGTTACAAAGATGACTACAGTTAAGAAATTCTGGCAAATGTTAGTGCCTACAGTAGTAAGTCAATGCTGTACTCAGAAACCTTTGAGAATGCAAGCACTGATAGGGAAACAAGGCATTACAATAACATAACTGGTACGAGAGCTTGTGAGTACTGAATGCGTTTATTGAGTTATTTCACCTGCATTCTTATCAAAGAAGAGATCTAGATTAGTGTTTGGGACTCATGTTTTATGACTGTTTGAAGGTAGCTTTGGACATCCCTCTCTGAATTACAGGATTAGTGGGTATTCCCTGCTAGGAAGGAACAGAAGTAGTGATACATTTACTGCTGTACACAGACTTTACCTACCCCTCATTCCACAGAATTCCAGTTACTGTTTTCAGGCTACTGAAAGACAGACATCTAGGACTACTTGATTAAATGAAAAATGTAGAATATACAATTTGATTACATTATAAACCAGCCTTTCTGCTTTAGGTTTTCAATCAGCCTAAACTAGGTTAAATGCAAGAATTTATAATTTTATGTAATATATTATTACTTTAAAATGAAACCAGTAAAAAAAAAAATCTACCTCTAAGCCTCTAGATGATTTAATTTAGTTATACATTATGGTAAAGTGTGACTAGCTACTACACTCCTCTTCCATAATTTAAAATTAAAGAATTTAATTTCCCTGGCAGAGGGATGTTTTCTTTACCAGTATTGATAGAAGTCACCAAATTCATTTTATTTCTGAATAAGTCATGCAGAACTCAGTCTTTGAGCCCTTGCAAGATGACTTTGTGTAGAGACCAGCCCTTTAATAACAGGGATATACAGCTCTAATAGCTCTACTAATTATACCTGTAGCACATGGAACTGCACATTAAAGAAGCTCTGACATCAACTGGTTAGAACTAGCAGAAATTACCTTACCTGACATTAAAAAGCACTGGTCCCATATAAAGTCCAATATATAAGACATACAGTTTTAAATGAGGAATTGGGAAAGGCACAGAAACACAGGACCTCAATCTTTTTTGATTTATGAGTGATCTAAGACTGAACAAGAAACCTTACTATTTGGGTGGCACAAGCTAATGATATAGAGAAATTCAGATCAAAAGTGATTAAATCTGTAATCCTATGAAGTTACCTCCTGTCAGCAGATTTTGTCACATTCCTGTCTGCCTCAGATTCACCATGGGCATTATTTTCATGACCAAAACTCAAGTTTTGTGCAACATACGGGTTATTTACAGGTTTTATCATCCCTAAGTAGAAAGAACAAGAACCATGATTAGCTTTCACTTACTTCTTTGAAATGCTTCTGATCTCAGTAGCATTTTTTAGGTGTTGCTAAAGGGAGGGCTGGGCCACAGCAGCCATGCTAAATAAAGGTCACCAAGATTTGACTGAGAAGTTTCTTGCTGCGTACATTGCTTCACAGACTGCTAGCTGTCTGCTTGCTTCAGATGCCTATCTTATCACTGACTATTGTTTGATGAATGTTCTGACTCAGATGTAAGGGAAAAAAAAATCAAATATAAGTTATGACTAGCCTCTCTAAACTCCCGTAACTAAAACTTCATGTTAAACCATTAAAGCAGAGGTGGCATTTTGCAGCCACAACAATTTTTGCTTTGTATGATAACATATGTCACCACCTTTTAACATTTATAATGGTCTATGTATTTTAAATGGGGAAAGAAATCACAAAAATGGGAAAAATCACTATGCCAGATGTTGATGTAGTAGAAGAGGAATCCCAGAGATATAGTAGACTAGAAGCCACAGTTCATCTAGGAAGCCAACCTGGAAAACATGACTAGTGCTGTGGGTAATGCTGGAGTTCAAACATCTGTCTTTTCTTCCAGAAAAGAAAAAACCCACACCCTGGAATTTTTCAAATCTACATACATCAATTCATGCTCTGAAAATGCTGTGAACTTCTACATGCTATTTTCTGTCTGCTTTTTAAGTAACCTCACTTTGGGTGTAGACACAGCCCTTCATTTTTGTCTAGAAAAGATGACTAATATGATTTTAATTAGAAATGTGCAGTTTTGAAAATATTATCCTGTGTTTTGCATCAACTGTCCACACCAAGATGGGGAATATTAATCATTGTAGCAGTCTGCTGCACACAGATTAATTTAACAGATGTGAGATTTAAGTAATACTCTGCTCATGATGAAAAATTTGGAGTAAAGCCAGTACAAGGAAAATAAAACACAAAACTTATTAAGTGTCCTAAACATCCTTCTCATTCTTGCCTTCTTAGGAGGACACCATGCTCAGCAACCCTGGGGAAGGAGGAAGATCTCTGCTCCCTGAGGAAAAAGTGGGGAACAAGAGAGTCATTAGCCCTCACCTTTGGAAAGCTGAGTCCCGCTTAGCCATTAATTGCACACAAGAAGAAAGACTGTGTGTGTGTGAAAATCCCAGACAACAGCACAGTGCCCATAAAGTGGCATTCTTCTGTCCGACTTCCACTGGTGATTAGATTTATGATCTGAGAGACAAGTTGTTCACTTGCATGAAAGTCTAAAGGATTTTTTTTTTTTTTAACGTGATGCAAATCTGTAAAATAGCTGGAAAGTTCTTAAACTTCAATAGGATTTGGATCAGTGTCGTTGAGTTAGAGGATGACAAATTAAATCGGTCACTGCATTTATTTCCCTGGATAAAGTACACAAAACCCCCCACACAAATTAGAGCTCTTCAGGTTTTTTTAGTAAATCAAGACAAAAGTCCTTACAGAAAGACAATTCCTTTTAGTGATCAAAGTATTATCTCATCTCTCAAAGCATTATTAAAATACCATTCCCATAATGTCAGCTGGTCTTACTACCACCAAGCAGGAAAATTTGAGTAAATGGAGTATTTAATTTGCAGTCTTACTACACAGCTAGAAATACACTAACAGGTTGTAATTCTTCAAGGATAATATATGCTGTGGCTACTTTTTGGCTTCTACATATTTCTAAACTAGACCAGGATTTCCATTTTTTAACCAAGTCATTACAGCTTTAACATATTTTATATTGCTGCTGTCAGAATATACTTAAACAACTGATGACTTTATTTTATTTTGTGGAAGGGCTTGTAAGTATCAGTCAAAGATTATGTCATAACAGCATTATGGTGAGAACAGGAAATAGTACGAGAGAGTGTGTGCAACAGGTGAGAGTGCAAATAAGCGACAGAACCACAAGGTAATAAGCAGATAGAGTAATAAGCAATACAAAGTCAGAGTTAATCCCCTGGCTAAATATTGTTGGGTATTTGGAGGTATCTCTGTGTTGACATGAACTATAAAGATGGCCAGCAGGTGAGGTTTTGGGATGGGGTTTTTGTTCATTTTGGGGGGTTCCAGGTTTTTTTTGTTGTTATGTTTTGATTGTTTTTGAAGCAGAAAGCTTTCATGAGTGACAGGCTTTGGGACAAGAAGCTAACTTGCTGCAAAGTGGTCAAGTTGTTCATAAATGGTAGCAAAGAAATGTGGGTGAGCTAGAAATACATTAGTTAACAAAGAAGTAAGGGACTGGATCATCAGGCATATTTAAAATAGATATAATATTTCATTAGTAATCCTAAATGTAAAGTTTAGAGCTTATCGTAACTTTCCTTTCATTAATAAAACTTCGCTGAAACAAAATTTCTGTTCAGTCGAAGCATCTAAACTACAAGTTGAACAGGGAAATGAACAGCATTTAAAAAGCCTTCTACTTTAAAGTAAGCAGAAAGCACTAGAAACATGAAATGGAAAAATGCAATCCTGTACAAGTGTAAATGAATAAAAAACTCCAGGTTCTCTAGGACAACCTCTGAAATGAGATAATGGTAGTAAACTCTCACTACAAAGACATTTGCAAGGTCATACATCTACTTCCACTCTTGGAGAACTGATATAAAAAATGCTAATTCCTGACAGAAATATGAATGCTTATATTTATTTTTAATAGAGTTACTATACATTTGCTGATACTTTTAAGGAAAAAAAGTCGTCAGCTATCTTTGCATTGCACACTAAGGTTACAAGTATCTAGTCAATTCTCTTTGTACACCTGTAACAACTTTAACAGAATTTCTATTACCAAGTATTTAATGCTGTAATATTAATTGCTTACTATAATTATTAAAGTAATTAATTTCTTCCCACATGAATAGTTTATGAAAGTGTATGAAATATAACTTTCAAATGGACAATACAAATATCTAGACCCTCTCTTATTCATATACTGTATATTCCAACCTAGAAACTCGTTTGAAAAAGGGAATGTCAGAACATCTTCACTGATGAGAAATTAATTAGTTTTGTGAAATGTAGTACAAGCAGGATCAATTTGGAGGCAAACATTCCAGAAGCAATCCCTGTAACTGATAAAACACTTTGTACTCTTGCAGAAAAAACAGGCATTTGGATGCAAATTGCACTGTCATTGCTTTGAGTCTGCAAAATCTATGTAACTGTGTCCATAGCAGGATATACACTTGTTTCTTCTTTTTTTAATTTTGTGGAGGTTGGCTTTTTTCTGACCTACCGTCCCCCTCAAAAAGGTATGAAATATTTATATCTGCCAAAAAGCTCAAGTTTGCTGGAATTCCCATTTCTACAAATCAAATATAAAGAGCTGATATAAATCATCACATAAACTCAAAAAAAAAAATTCAATCACGACCTCCTTTTAGAGGATGTCAGTATCAAATAGCACCTGCTAATACTTCTATAGTTTCTAGAGTCCCAGTGTTCTCAGTCCTTTACATTCTTCAATCATGAGCTTTTGATCTGTGTTCAGATCTGGTAGGAGGGCATGGAGTTCCCTCTACTCTTTTCTCAACTAGGGGAAAAGCAACTCTCATAAAATTGCACACCATAATTTATATCACAGATGATATGGATTAGAATTTCTTCAACAAAAATACAAGCCAGCAAAGTACGTATGGTAGGGAGCTTTTATTTTTACTATTCACCATTATGGTTTTCCAAGGTAACATGAGAAGTGTCAGAGATAACAAGGAAATACATTCCTTGCTAAGATCACTTTCTTCTATTACAAATCTAACATGGGAGAATAACAAGAAGTTTTAGGTTCCCTTCTATGTCCTCTTAATATTTAATCTATTTTGACTCTGTGGTCTAGATATGTTTTCATACTTTCATACTTTCTCCTAGTTTTTGCCAGTAATTTATTCTAACATAAACATTAGTTTAGCATTCTTTTCAATTAAAGCAATATTCCAGTTCTTTCACTGTTGGTATTTTCTCTTTCCAATGAGATTTTTTTTTCAGTATTATTAAGCTAAAGTCACTGGTTTGCTTTTATTCACTTTCTCCCTCCTCTGAGGGCCTAATGAAACTTTCATTTATAGATATAAATTGTTTCACACCAGGGATCAATTAATATATTTTCAGTTTAATGGAAGATAGATAATATGGGGGGAGGGCAAAAGAGGAAAAATACTGACAGTATGTTAAATAGTATTTTTAACAGCTACCTAGAACCCTCACCCAAACTTAACCTACTGAATAGCTGCCATTTAGGGAGACTGATGAGTTTAAGGTGTGTGTTGGGATTTTCTCATCTTTATACCATTTTCCTCTTATTAACACTTTTGGGATAAAGTCAAAACACTACGTAAGGTTTCAAAGTTTTAACCATGAAGTTGCTATGTGCTTGGAGATGAACACAGGTAATACTAAAGTTTGGGAAGCAACTACAGCAGCTCTGAAGTGGTTTGTGTTTTGCTGTTACTATTACAACTGAGCTGTGGAATATGTAAGCACAAAAGCACTATTACAAAGGGCCCATGAGCATAAAATTTAAGTGACTTAAAAGTTATTCCGTCTGTACAAAACCAGTTATGGGTAGCAAGGTTGGTATCTTTAAAGTTGGTGTACACAGGTAATACTTGCAGCAAGATTTCTGAAATTTAGGAAACAACATTATAGGTAGGTCTGGATATAATTTATCTCAGAAGTAAGCAGGTTTGGATCTAGAGAGCAGCATTCAGTGCTACTTCAAGGGTAAGCTAGGTTAAGGAATAAATCTTCTTTAACAGAACCAGACAGAATCAAAAAAGAGGTTTTCCAGGCATTGAGCTTTCTGTCCTTTGACAAGCATTGACATTGTCAGATTTTAGACTGTCATGTTTGGGAGTAGGTTCTTCCTAACGTGCTGTCAGCATTGAAAGCCTTCCCCACTAGAATCAGAATCAGAGTAAGGACTTCCAAAATCCAGGTCTTCCCAAGAATCCAATACTGATGAACAAATTAAAGAAGCCCCTTTTTAAAAGGCACAGTAGATATAATGATAGATCTAAACCAGTTAGTTCCACTCAGAAGAGAGACCTTGGGGTTATAATGCATAGCTCAATGAAAAATATCAACTGTTCACTAAGGCTGAAAAAAAAAAAGAGCATATTAAGAAGTGTTAGGGTAAAGTAGAAAGCAAAAATTTTTCTGCAAAGTGACAGAACCTGAGCAGCATTACTAGAGGTGCAGAACAGTCCCCATCTGAGACAAAAATACAGTAACTTTTTCTAGGAAAAGAGATACTGAAGGAAGGACTACGACAGAAATCTGAAAAAGAAAAAAAGAACAGTGATACTGAAGTATAGAGAGACAGGGATTAATTATCTTTAAAATATGAGGATTGGGGGAAAGCAAATTATCAAAGGGGCATAAGAGGAGCAAAATAAATACACGAAACAGGTTGTTACACTGTGGAAGTCATTACTGCTGGATGCTACAGGGGTCAAAATCTTCTGTGATTTCAACATGCAATTTTATAAATTAATAATAGAAAGTATCAGTTTTATAAAATTCATAGCACATTTTTAATTGATAGTAGAAAAATTCATCAAGATCTATTAAACAACAGGATATTACCTTGAATCATACTTAATTTTAAGCATTTAAATGATATGTATAACCCAAGGTATTGCTTGTTGTATGCTCCTTCATGTTGTATGAACCTCTAGACCAGGAACCTCTAGAATACATATCAAGCCACAGATAGGCTTTGTTTAGGTTATTTATCAAACACATATAAATATATGTTTCTTCTCCAAGTTAAGTAGAGGTGGCCCGTCTACCTTTGTCAAAATCGGTTGGTTTTGACTTATTAAAGGTTTAGGCCAATTAAAAGGATCGAATTTCAATTGGCAGACACATCTTGTAATGTTACAGGATTCCCTTCCTGCTATCCAGCTTGAGACATGAGTGTGTATTACAATCAATATTAAAATTACATAGGGTGCTTAAAAACATAAGTGATTTTTAACAAAACTAAAAGTGTGATTGTTAACTATTCACAAATGTTAACTGGTAATTGAGCGAGATTTACTTGCAAAGATATGAAGTATGTCAACTGAGTAGAATAGAGTCATATTAGATAATCTCCTCGCAATTCTTTTCTGTCCGGATTTAGAGATGCCCAGGTCTGCGAGCAGTGAGTAGTTGCCTTCGTACCATTTTCCACAAGAACCCAAGAACTAAAAAGACTCCAAACCAGCTGGTACACTACTCTCAAAACTGAGGGTCCCAGTCAAGGAACAGCATCCCTAACCCTGAACTCTGACTCTCCTGTTACACATGAAGGCCATCCCTTTAACAGTGCTGGCAGAGCATGCTGGCACCAGGATTCACATCACCATGGCCATTAAAAGTAAAGCTAGACAGCATCAGCTTCTGTAACACAGAGCAACATTTCCCTGGCAAAGTTATGCCAGACTGCTTTCAGTCCGTGGATCACAAGCAGCCAAGAATTCTCTGCAGTCCACCCAAAGGTGAAACACAGAGTCTCACTCAGAAATCAGTTCCAGTCACTGGCCTCAAAACACGTCCCTTCCCTACTTCATCCAAACTCATTTTTCACCCCCCCACACACTTCAACAGGTTAGGCTTGCATCATTTTTGTTATTCGTTACATCAAGGACTATTATTTACTTACAGTAACAATTTATTTCTGTAAGTTATAAGGCATTTTGTTAAACCTAATACAATTATTTTAGTCGTCTTTTGTAATTAGTGTCTAGTGAAAATAGTTTGCCTGTCAACAATTAGCACACCATAACTGAAATCTCTGAAGATTTCTACAAGCTGCACTTCACAGCCGCTTCAGGTAAGATACATCTAGAACTGGCTACACTACAACAGTTTGCTTTAACTGAAGATGTGCATTCTTAGTGAAATGGCTGTTCTTTTGTTGATACAATTTACCAAATTACTTTTTAATCAAGTATGTTATGAAAAAATAAAATCTTTTAATCAAAAAGCAGGTTTTGTAACAATTAAGCAGTATCAAATTTTTTTGCATTTTGAAAAAAAACCAAACCCACTGGGGTCCTTGTCCAGCAGTGTTATTCATCTTACTTCTTGTAAATGATTTTCCAAAAACAAAGCTGGATAGACTCTTGTGAGACAAACATACATATTACTAGAACAACTTGGTATTTAACTACAATACTTTGTTGTAGACTATAAAATGATAAAAGATCTTAGAATTGTGAAAGATATTTATAGGCCTGTACAGAACGAGAGGAGTACAGAAATTAAAAACATGTAAAATGAAAAGAGAATGATTTTGGACATGTCATCTCTGGACACATGCTAAAGACATACAAAGACACACTAAAATGGTGCACAGAGCACCACATGGCTCAGCACAGAACACCAAGTAATCCTGAATAGCTGAAATGATTTCTGGAATTAAGCTGTCAGGAAGACCCCAGGCTACTGTAATTTGTGCTGATGACCATCTAGCATGCTAGCCAGACTCTGCAGAGAAGTCTTCATCTCAAACTCTTTCAACTTGTTTAAGTACAAACTCATCACAAAAATTATTCAGACCACTAGCCACAAACACCTAAGCAGGGCCCTTCATTTTTAACAAAACAAATTATAGCCACTCGGGAAGTCTCCAAAAGATGTAAACTGAAACAGCTCTCTCTCCTGGTTGCTATAGATAAAAAAAAATAAAAATAAAAATAAAAATGTTGTCTAATGATTT